GCAGATATCCTTTCTTCTCAATGATTTTCTTAATGACATCTGGGAACTCATCTGCTGCAACTTGGTCAGCAGAAGCTGCTTATCTTGTTATCATGACATTTTCTAAGCCAAACTTTTTTCTAAAATTATCAAACCATCCTTTGCTGTCATTAAATTCTCCAGGTTTAGATCCTTTGCCTTCATTTTGTTTTAAGTTATCATATAATAACTTTGCTTTTCCTCAAATTATATTAAAGCCTCTAGGTATGTCTTTCTTGTAGCAATCCTGCACACACATAAAAGCTACATTTTCAGTACATGATTAAAAGATATTTCACTAAAAGTGCTAAGGTTTTCATGTCTGCTGGTATAGCTGCAGCCACAACTTCATGAATTCCTTTTTCTTTTTTTTTTCTTTTTACAATGGTCCTTTTGCTGGATTCATTTATCTTCAAATGATGGGTAACTGCAGCTGCAGACCTTAATTTATGCTTCATAATAAGAAATTCAACTTTTTCTTGTAATGTCATGACTTTTCTCTGCTTCTTAGAAGCATTTCCAGCATAACTAGTGGTACTTCCTATGGGTTCCCTGGTGTGAATCAAGGTTTACAATATTGCACAGTGAAAAACACTTAAGAACTGCAAGAGATTACTTTTTTTTGCGATATGCAATTTACTGGAGAGACAAACTACTCACATGGAGATGATGAGCATCACATGGAACTTTAAGCAGTTACTTGCAACACTTGAGCTCACTGAAATAGCAACAAGAGGTGGCTATGAAATTATTATAGTAGTACAGTATGTACTACAGTTAATTTTATGCAGTTGTGATTTAATATTGCATCTTTATATTTACATTTCTCTCAACTGGGAATGACACCATATAAGTCTGTGTTTGTGTGCATGTTTTGATAAATTTTAACCTTTAATAATGTATTGATATATATTTTATGTTAGAAAATAACATACACTAGTATCTACACATACTTTGTGCATTCATGAATACCTAACTTTTTAAATATTTCTAGGCTACATGGTTTATCTGTGAGTTTTTTCAAATTATTACAAATCTTCAAAAATTTTTACAATATACTTGTTGAAAAAAGTCCACATATAAGTGAACCCATACAGTTCAAACCTGTGCTGTTCAAGGATCAACTCTACTTTACTGACTCTGTCTACTCAAATGCTAATCTCATCTGGAAACACCCTCACAGATATACCCAGAAACCATGTTTAATCTGGGCACCCTATAATCTACTAAAGTTGACACAAAATTAACCATCACAGACCTATATGCCCAGATGCTGCTGGGCATCTCCACCTGGATGGTTCATAGTCACCACAAGCATTGTGTGATCAGAGCTCATTTGGCCATCCTTTCTAACCTAGCTCTCTCCCTGCCCTGCTGCCCAACTGAATCTGCTTCTCCTCTTCTTTGTCCCTATATCAGTTAAATAATTTACCACAAAGTTTTTCCAAGCTAGAAGATCCAGAGTCATTTTGAGATCATTCCGTTTCCCCACCCTTTCAAAACAAGCTAGTATATAGATCTTATTAGTTCTATTATAGCTCTGAAATACGTTTTAAAAACTATCCACTTCTTTGCCCACAAGCATTTTTCACCTAGACTGTTGCAACAGTCTTTTAAGTAGATTCATGGATCACTCTGCCCTTTATCATGCCAGTCCATCCTCAACAAAACCACTAGTCAATTCAGGTTACCAACCCAAAGCATCTCCTTTGCACCTGCAGGGGCCCACGCTAGCCAGGAAAGGACAGACTTGTCTGGCCTATGGGAAGGATTTTAGTTCCATGTCTTGGCCATGCTGGAGTTTGGGCAGAGGCAAACTGACAGCTCAAACTTAGCTCATGCAGATTAAAGACTTCCTCTGGCAGTGAGGAGTGGTTCAGGCTAAGCACTCGCTCAGCAGTGGGATAAGCCTACCTCCTGTGACAAGCAATGGGCCTGATAACAAGAGAGGGAGGTATGAGCCTGGCAACCCAACCTTTCCTGCTGATTTGGGGTTTGTCCATGGGGATCTTACCAGTAATCTTGTCTTATCAGCTCTTGGCATCTTAGGATCGTGTAACACCTAGACTGATCTGGTTCTCTCTGGGTCATGAGTAGCATCAAAGGTGTTATTTTGGGTTTAAAAGTATCTTGTCTGAGGTTAATCAGATGAATGCCAAGTTTTCCTAAATATTCTACATTAAATAGAGGAAAGGAGTGGGTTACAAAATGAAAAGAAAGGCAAGTTATCATGGATTAGTTTCAGCTCAGGAAGGGCAGGTGGTGAGACACCTCTAACATCTAATGTGGAAACAAAAGGGGTGAAGAACACTGGCAAAGACGGGTGTAACTTTACAAACCTGCTCCCATGCCTAGTAATGCTCCAAGTCTGTCTTAAGTCCAAGTCTGTTTTACTGTTAATACTCCAAGTCTGTTTTAATGGACTCCAAGTCCATTTTAAATCTCTTTCAGCAAAACCAGTGAGAGTTCACTTCTCTGCCTCTTGGCTCTAGTTTGCTCAACAGATAAAGTTCAAGCTCTTCCAGCTCAGGTGAGACACCCTGTCCTTTGACTCCCCTGGGCTCTTGTAGAATTCACAGAAACCTGCCACTGGGTGTTGTATGTATAGACCCTTGTCATCATTTGTCGATTCTACATTTGTGAATTCATCTACTCACTAACATTTATTTGTAACCCTCGGATCAATACTTGCAGTGATTTCATGGTGATTTTTGGACATTTTCAGAGTATGACAAATGGGAGTCACTGATGTGATGCACATTCCCAACTAAGGTCAGTGTGCTCACTCCCTTCTTGTTTCGGCTCATATACTATAAACATGCCCTTTGTATAGTCTATTAATTGCCTTTTTTTTTTCAAATTTTTGTGCTTTTGGGTGGTAATTTCACTTTTAAATGGCCCCCAGATGTTGCAGTAAAGTGCTGTCTAATGTTCCTAAGTACAAGAAGACTGGGGGTATGCCTGATGGAGAAAATATGTGTGTTAGATGAGCTTCATTCATGCTTGGGTTATAGGGCTATTGGTGTGAGTTCAATGTTAATAAATCAACAATATAGTACATCCAGAAAAGGAAGTACATATACCAGTATGTACATGAGGCTGTTCTGGAAAATGCTGAAGTGACATTTGTAGTTCTTGAAGAAGCTATGGAAAAGATGGAAAAACAGCTAAATTTATGGATTCGTAAAATGACAACTGATTTTTAAAGTGTAGTAAAAAGAGCACTGTTGAGAGGTTGAAAGCCCAATAAATTTACAGTTATGTTACCCAGCACTGGGGAAATGTTAAATCCTTCTCTGCTAAGGTTTTATTATAAAGAAATAGTACAGATGACTAACTTGTAAGAAATATATATTAAATTAGGTGTCTTAAACAGAAACACAATAAAACAAGGTTATGTAGTGATGGGTTGATGAAAATATTGTGACCTGAGGCTCACAGGAACCTAACCATGTATTTCTCCTAGGAGCAATGGTTCAGTATTCACTAATTCAGTGTTCACAACAACTTTATAGAAAGGAACTACCACAAACAATGAAAATTGACTGTATATCACAGTTTCTGCTCCACATTATGTCGTCTTTGTATTAACACCTCTGCCTACTTGTGTTCCACTCCTATTCACTGTTGAATAAATGTGTGCTGAGTGAATAAAAGTCTTATGCAAGCAAGTTTTCTGCGAGGATACAATATTACTGGGAATTTTGGCCTCAGCTGTGCATCAGAAAGATATAAGCTAGGTGACATCTAGGAGGCTGATGAGTGGGATTATTAGAATGAAAGTAAACACTGTCTTTAAGAAAACCTACAAAGGATATAGTCTGCCTATGGAATGTCAAAAATTGTACTTCATCAGTTGTTCAAACTTCATGACTTTGCAGCATTCCAATGTTGCAAGGTCAGGTGTTTATTCACTCCTTGTGCAGTCAGCACACATTGATTTTGCCTTTGTGTCAGAATGTGACACTCCATTTGGTTGGGGTCTGTTTTATACCTTTACATTTATCTTCCTGAGAAGGAACCATATGGCCAGTTTTTCTGTAACCAAATATCAAAAGACACAGGTGGAACAGTTTTATGTCTAAGAATTTCATGAAGAGTGTTTGGAATAATGTAAAAAAATTTTTTCCTTTTCAAATTTTTTTTAGTTGACAAATAGTAATTGTACATATTTGTGGGGTACATAGTCATTGCATGTTTTGATACATATATAGTGATGAGATCAGGGTAATTGGCAGGAATCACCTTTGAATTCATTATGATCCATATTCTCAGGACATCTGTAGCCTGGGGCTGCTAGAATGGCCATCACATTCTTTTCTTTCATGTAGAAGAGAAAGAGCGCCATTGAATTCCCCTTTTGCCTACTCTGAAAGCGAAACTTGCAAGTGACAGGGGAAAGTACATGAGATAAGGAGAGAGCAGAGTTGGGACAACTTTTGTAGGGGCATACGGTCTCCTGGGCTTCTGTGGCTTTGGAAGCCTGTGCCTGAGAATGTTTGAGAGCCTCTGCTTTCTTAAGGGCTCTCAAATGAAGCTCAGATTTCAAGGGTAGAAGGGAAGAGATTCAGAGTCGTTTGTGGCTACTTTTCATGGTCTAGTAGTGCAGCTGTAAGTCATTTCATCAAATCTTGATTTCTCGTTCACTTAACAAAAATAAAATGTAGCTAAAGAGTTTACTAAACCTTGGATAAAAATATTATGAACGTGTTTTTATAACTTCCAGATTTAAGGACAATTAAATTTAAGAAAAAAAAATCCCCACTCATCACTTTAATCCCTTAGACCCAGGTTAAGGCACCCAGCCTGATAATGAATGTCTGTTGACAACAACTTCCTTGTATTTGAAGACAGTATTGACTAGACGGTACCAACGAGTCAAGGTCATGGCAGGCTATCTTGGGAGAAATCTCCCTCATGAAGCAAGTTTTCCATGTAAAGATGAAGCATGAAAATCAACATCTATTTTATAGAAAATAGGAAATATTTAATATATATAAATTTATTTGCCTTGGCAATTATTTATTTACAATTGATGATTGATACCAACAATTGAGGTAAAAATATACATGAGGTATAAATATAATATTTAAATGCAATAGCATACTTTATTTCCATTGGCAAGATAACAATGAATAAAATACTGTGGTATTTGACAAACAAGCTTGATGCATCGTTTTTTCTCCTTTTTTTCCCTTTCCCTTTTTCAAAAAAGATGCACCGTGTTGTTATGTAGCGGTGATATGATTACTATGTGCACAAAAACAAAAAAGTCAGATAATTCGAAGAGAGGGAGAGTCAGAAATACAATCACATTTGTTTTTATTCTGTTTTAGGGATCTTCTAGGTCCTCGTTTCTGAGTGTGATTTTACGCCAGCAGCATAGGCATCCCTGAGACTCCTGAGAAATGCAGAATCTCAGGCCCAGCCCAGATTACTTGGAGCAGAGTCTGCAGTTTCACAAGATCCCCAGGTAATTCATGTGTATGTGAAATCTGGACAAGCACCCCTCTGGGCGATACAAAGCCACTCACCCTCGTGTGCTTATCATGTTTTGCAAACACGTAGGATCCCATCTCAGGAGCAGACCAGTGTTTAGCTGGACTAAACTTCACTAGCGATCTTGCTGATGCACATAAAGTAATCTGGCATATATGGTTAAATTAAAGATGTTATGGCAGAAGGGACTTTGTTTTGCTCACAAAGCATTGCCCAAAAGGAAAATTATGGATTTGCTGCTACCTTCTTAGGTAGACATGGGGATGAAACATTTCTAGGTCATAATTCAAACTGTATGATTTTCCTTGCACCATACCAAACTCATGGAAAGCTTTTTTATTCCTCTCCATAAAATAATTGCACATTGCTGATAACAGAAACATTATATAAATGCATATAATACAAAAAAACCTGAAAACGCTCATTTGCTTTTCTTTTTTTCTCCAACACCATTGCTAAATCATATCAATCTCTATTATGAATGACTAAAGAAAATCTCTCTCCCTGAAATCAAACACACAATAAGTTATCTTTCCATTGCTGTTGAATTGTAATAAAAAGCACATTCGATCCATTAGCAGTTGGCTAAAGGGAGTCAATTTGCTTAGTCTGTACAATAATAAATAAGGTTGGGTCAAATGCATAGGTAGCTTGGATTGGCTAGTGAAGAAACACAGAAGAATTAATAAACCCGACCATATTTTCTAAAACTAATCAAAGAACATAGTTTTGGTCTTATGTTAGTTAAAAACCCTGTCTTTCAGATTGTAAAAGGTTAATGAATTACATTTTAAGAGTATCCTACACATAGCAGAATATGAATTCCCTGAAGCTGTTATGATCTAGGGTTTGAACGGAATGGTCACCATCTCCCTTTGTGTGGTGTCTGAAGTTGAATTCAGTGCAATAAGGAAACACCAATTAACTGTGACCAAATAGGCCACTGGTCAAATAGAATGACATTTAACAACATTATGAAATGTATTTATAAAAACTTGAGACAACACAGGGGCTCCCTTTGGCTGTGAATAAGTAAAGGCTATGGTATTCATCTCGACTTGGGGTCTGTAGTGGTGGGCATGGGAGTGAGAGGTATAGCTTCTGTTTCAGTCACTCGCACTGACTCCAGTGGTCCATATCTCATGGAAATTCCATCTTACTGGGCCCAGTGGCAACTCCTCATCTAGCCTTAAATTTGGTAATGACTTCTCACCCTCCGCTTTGCTTTGAGGAGGAGTAATTATTCTTTCCCTGCTTTATCCCAGAACTCCACTCTCAGTTTTTGAATAACAGAAGCAAAATGACACATAAGTCTCCTTTAACGTTATTTTCCTTTGGTTAACTAATCTTTGGTTAGGCATCAGGGCATGTTCACACCTTGGTGTTAGCAGCAGGTTCTGCACAGCTTACAGGACAGTGGAGAGATGGGGCCCAGAGCCACTTGGAAAGAACTATGTGAGGAAGGGACTCACTGAGTCAGACACCGTCCTTTTCAAAACACACAATTCTATATAAAATTGGTATTTTACATATATACAGTAAAGATGGAGATATACACACATATGTACATATGCTATACTTACATTTATTTACAGTTAAGTATATACGCTTCTTAGAAGCCTTTAAATAGCAAATTAGGCAATGCACAAGGAATAATCCATTTAATTTTAAGTAATATAGATAAATGTTCTCATTTTAAAATTATATTAGTAGGGATGTAGCCATCTCCAGGAAGGCTAAGAAAGTTCTTGGAAATTCTTGCATCTCCAACATTCCAACTTCTTAACGTTTCCATTTTTAGGCATTAACCACGTCCGTCAGTTCCTCTTTCTCTCGCTTTCTCACGTGCACACTCTCTGCCATACGCGTTACTTTAGTTTCCTCTTCCCTGAGTTTGATGTCATACTGGGGAAAACTCAGATTTTAGTTTCTGGGCCCTCAGCAATGAGGGGCTGGAAAGAGTTTCTAATCCTGGCAACTTCTGCCGCACACAGATGTCCAAAGCCTTTGCTGTACCATTCTGGGGAGTGACCTCTGTGGGGAAAGAAATCAGAAAGGAAGTGGGAAAGGTGTTTTTTTCAAATCACAGCAATTAGTCATGGTGGACAGGGCTGCCCTTGGGCCCCGATGACCAGTGCACCTGCACACAGTTCGGGCTGCTGCGTCAAGGGGCTCAGGACCTCATTCTGCCATCAGGGGCCTTGAAAACGTCCTAGCTGCTAAGTGTTCATGCTCTCATTTCAGTACTCATCACGTGCTTTCAAATGATACCAACACCTCAGGGTAAAATGAAAAGATTCAGATGAAATCCAGAATTTACTGTGAAAACTCCGTTTTGTCTACCCAGACCAAGAACTGGGTTTAGCACCCTGAATGCCTTGAAGGGGTTGGATTTATTTTCTTCTCAAAGAACTACCAGAGGGAGCAGTAAAAGCGGGCAGGCATAAAAGAAATACACGGTCGGGCACGGTGGCTCATGTCTGTAGTCCCAGCACTTTGGGAGGCTGAGGTGGACAAATCACCTGAGGTTGGGAGTTCGAGACCAGCCTGGCCAACATGGCGAGGCCCTGTCTCTACAAAAACATATAAAAATTAGCTGAGTGTGGTGGTGGGCAGCTGTAGTCCCAGCTACTGGGGAGGCTGAAGAGGGAGGATCACGTGAGCCCGGGAGGTGGAGGTTGCAGTGAGCCCTGATGGTGCCACTGTACTCCAGCCTGGGTGACAGAGCGAGACCTTGTCTCAAAAAGAAACACAAGAGAAGGGAACTCTGATTTGCTGAGTACCTACTATGTGTCAGGCTCTGTTGCTGGTGTGTGTTTCATGGGAGAAAGACAGAAATATAAGTGGGCATAAAACAGAAAATAAAAAAAGGCAAAGAGGTGCAGAATTTCAGGAAAGGGGGGAAGACAGAGGGGAGGCATACGTAGCCACCTAGGAAAGCACGCTAATGGCAATGAGGAAACAAATACCGTGAAATAAGAAATCAAGGTGACATCCCTGCTGGATGTGCTGTACGAGCTGAGACTCCCAAGATCGGAGCCTGCCATGAGGGGAGTCAGCACTTACTTCAGGTCTATCCTACAGATGTGAGTCAGTCTCGACTTGCCAGAGCCACACGGTTCTATCAAGTACTGCGAGTCCATCACCACTGCTCGCACGCCACCCAGGAGCTGGGCTTCCTCGTGCTCCACAGACAGCGACACCAGGGTACACATTCCTTTGGGCAAATCAGTCTTCCAGGTCCTGTAGCAACACAATCCACACATCAGAGTCATGACGGAGGGAGGAAGAAGAACCTGAACACAGAGCTAAGGTTTGTGTTTATATTTTCCTGCCAACAACCTGGGCTTAGACTCCAATGCTAGTGACTTAGATTAAGCTAATGGCTTTCATAAGCTTGTGTAAAGTTTATACAGAAAATTTCAAAGCAAGGATCTCAGTCTGGGACTTTGAGGCCAGAAACAGTCTTGCAGCTTTCAGATCTGCATTTGGAACTCCCAGCTCTGCTTGGCCGTGGAGGCTCCTGCCCATTCTCGAAGCGGTGGTTTTACAGTTTAGGAATTAGAACTCACCTATTTGATTCATTCAGCAGACATCAATTAAGCACCTAGATATGCCAGGCTCTGAGAAGACACCAAGCACATAAAGATAGACACAGTCCAGGAAGAAAAACTGACACTCTAAACAGAATTCTAAAAGCACCGAGGTAAATGCACTGATAAGGTTATGCATGGAGGGCTCTGGGATCACCCGGAGGGGGCTGCGGGAGGAATATGGAGAAGGCTTCCTGGAGGAGGGGATGCTCAACGAGAAGTGAACTGGTGCGCTTAGCTTGAAGGAAAGGAAACATATGTGGGCCTGCTTATTGTCTTCATACACTTGAGTGGCTCTTGAGTGGGAGAAGAAGTGAATATGGTTGATTTGACTCCAGAAGGCAGAGATAGAAAGGCACATTTCTGTGCAGGAGAGAAGCACTGTCTAACAATGTGCACTGTTCAGAAATGAAATGGGCTGCCCTGGGAGGCAGTGAGTTCCCTGCTCCTGGAGCTATTCAAGCAGAGGTGGCTACCCCTTGAAAAAAGCTTGTGAATGGGAGTCAGGAGCTATGCGAACATCTGTGTAACCACCTCTAACTTACCTTTCTACCCCAGGGATCTATAATAATAGATCGTATTATTAGAATTCCCATGATTTACTCCACAAATTCTGTTCCCTTACTAAGCTATCTCCTCCATGATTTCAGCCTGTCCTCCTACACCAGGAAGAGAAATGGTGATATGTGCTTGACAAGAACTTGGGAATAACCAAGCCCCACACAAACGCTCAGCGACTTCCATGCTGTGACTACTCCTTTCACAAACGACGATGTGATAAATCGTGACGACGGAAAGTTGTAAAGGTTTGTCAGAATAAATGGGAGAATCTCCAGCATCTCTCAGCGGAAGCTCCCAAGGAGCTAGCAACGGGTGTGACATGAGAGACAAATGCGGCAATCCTGAAAGGTGACCAGCCTCATACGTGCTAGACTAGACTGGAAGATGCTCTGAAGACAGGAGGCATCTCAGTCCTGTGCCTCCTCCCCACGCTTGTCACTTTCCACCTCCTTGTATCCTACACATAAGGAATTCCTGTTGTTAGGAACCAGATCTGGTTCATTGTTAGCCCGTGGAGGACTGCATCTCTTCTCCTTCAGGGCCTCACGGTCCACTCCAGTTCTTCCAGTCTTGGATAAAAATCAGTGCAGCGAGACCCCGCCCTGACCATTCTAATTAAAATTCCATCCCTTACTATCTCCCTATCTCATACCTCCCAGGATAAGTCAGCCCATCTCCCTTTCTTATTTTTTATGGCCTTTCCCCAGTGAACTACAAACCCCAAGAGAGCAGGAGAGTGGCTTTCTGCATTCACCTGGTATACCCAGAGCCTATCACAGTGCCTGGCACGTGGTCGTGACGGAACGAAGCACTGATAAATAGCAGGCTGGTGGGGTTGCTGGATGGATGGAAGGAGGGAGGTTCCACACACAGACTCAGGCCCTCAGCCTCCTCTGGAGGGAGGGAGGAGGCACGCTATGGCATGGCCCCATTCCTGTGGCAGTCATCCTGAAACAGCTATTCAGCTTTCCCCTTGTGGAGTGAAAGCATGAAGTTGAATTCCACCAGATGACTCATGCCCTATTAACTTTGGTACTATGCCACCCTTATAAACTGCCAGCATTCTCCACCAGGATCCCAAGGAAGCAGAGATAAATCCATGTATTATTTGGGGAAAACTGACCTTTAAAAGTCAAGGTTCCAAGGGCCAATTCCAAAGTCATAAAGAGCTCATGTGAAAAGTAACCTTTAGTTTGCCATCAAAACTGGTTTCATAAAGTGTTTTAAATATACATTTGGGAGTTTCACAATAGGTTCTTTTTACATTGCTGATCTGTGACATGAGACAGAGTTTGCCAAGATTTTCAATAAAAAAGGATATATTGATCTAATTACCTTTTATTCAGGTTCTTTAGTACCCTCGATTTCTGTTCTAGCTGATGCAATGCTGCATCTCTACTGTGCAAACTTTCTATGATTGGTTGAGCATCCCCTTCCAAACTCCGAGAGCAGGGGTCTGGAACTCAACCCTTACCTCAATCAGAAGCAATATTTCCTTTGCAGACACAGAATCAGCGAGCCTTTTCTGGACCTCCAGGGCAGTGCCAAAGTTTCTGAGCATGGCAACTAGCTATGAGCATCTGAAGTTAAAAAGATGGGTTCTGAAGTCATGCCTACCCCAGCCGTGAGAGTTACACACTTTCCCAGGGGAGAAAAACAAAATCAGAAGAAAAGCCAGTCAGATCCATTTGCATAATTTGGCAGAAAGTGCAACTGGACAAACAGCAGCTTTTCTGGGCCGTCTGCTCTGAGGAAATGAATCATATTTATGGCCTAATAAACTGTGTGCTCCACAAGGAGAGGGGCAGTCAGAGAGCCCAGGCAGAGCTGTAGGCTGGGTGAAAAGACACAGGAAGTCAGGCATCAACACAGAAAACTCAGATGTCACTGAGGGAAACAAGAGCCGGCTTAGTGTTCCCCAGGGAGGCTGGACTTTGGTGGGAGCCACCAGGAAGTGCTCACATCTACAGCTCGTGTCCTGCCTTTGGAACAGAACATCATAAACCCTAGAGTCAGGCTCACCTGAGAACCACAAAGTCTCTGGAAGGATGGGGGGCCATGCTGTTCAGCACGTACTGGTAGATCTCTGTGTGCCTGTCTAGAGTCTCCACAACCTTCCACTGCACAAAGTCCTCGTCCCACAGGTGGCGCTCTCTCAGCACGCGGTTCAGGACCACCGAAGGGGGCGCTTCCACCTCCACAGAAGCCTTCCACAGCTTCAGGGGGTTCCCGTCGCCCACCTTGGGAAAGACAACATCAGAAGCTGAAGAGGCTCTCTGGGAAATGGGTCCAACATTTTTTGTTTGGGCTTTTAGTTTTTCTGTCATACTTTGCTGGGTGTTCAAAAACCATCACTGATTCTGTAAATTGAGAGAGATGCTACATACCTCAGGTTTAACATTTTAGTCCTTAAGCTTAAAAGAATAATAATGATGATAAAAATAATCATCACCAGCACACCCGGTGGTTACTGTGTGCCAGGCACTATTCTAAGCCATTTGGTTTTAAAATCAGCCTTCCTCTGACAGTGGTCCTCTTACAATGTCCATTTTACAGACGGGAAAACGGAGGCACAGAGAGGTGTGTGACTTGCCCAACATCACACAGCTAAGGGGTAGAGCCAGGACCGGGATCCAGCTGTCTGGCTCCATGGTTTACTCTCTGATTATACGCAACAGATCTCTGGACTGAGTCTTTGAATGGTTCATGTGCCTCAACTGTCCATGTGTGTGCCCAGCCCTGTGGACACAGCAGCTGTTTTCAATGCAAAAACACATGTCTGATGGTTAGCTGTGGCTTTCTGGGGTGATCTCTTTCCATCCTCTGAGATTACCTTTTTGAAAGCAAGATCTGTATTGTCTGTGCTGGAGCACGTGACCCACCCCTTGAACTTCTCCTTGGCTTCTTTCTGGAGGCCCTGGATGAGATGATTCAGGTAAGTGTGGGAAGTTGCCCCGCTCTCCTCCAGCTGCGTCCCCAGATCTTCCAGGGTGGGCACGTGGAGCTCAGCCTCCACATACGAGTTACGAGACTGGGCCACCAACTCGTGTGGAACCTAGACCAACGGATGCACGAAAGGGCAACACACTGAGCCAAAGAAACGCTGAGACTCAGAAAGCAAAGCCATTTCACCCACAACCCGGCTCTGAGCCACGGGCCGAGGGCCACACGGCCGGAGATGTTTTCCTAAGATCACTGCCAAGGACGGGAGGGGCCTTCCTAAAGTCAGGAAATACAAGTATGTTTCCGAGGCTGTATTTATTATTCAAAACATTGCAATGACTTCCCCTTTATTCTTTCCATTTCCCTTTTATTTTACCTTTAATGTCTTTTTATTCAGTTCGGCAAAATGTGGGCTCAGACAGCTTTACCCACCGTGAATAAGACTTAAAACAGATAGACTTGTGAAGGGAAACATCAAACAGGACTTGGGAATAGCTTTACTTTTTTAGCACACTTTTCCCATTGACAAATGCCAATTCTATCACAAAAGTATGCCACAAGTCTGGTTCACTTACTTCTTTTACATATCTGTGGCTGTATTCATAAGCTGTCATTGGTTCTTAGCAACAAAGATCCCTCAGTATTACACACACACTCACACAGATGTTTAACCTAATCAAGTCCCAAGGTAAAATCAAATAGAACATAATTGGCTGACTGGCCTTGAACCTGACAATGGCAGGTGATGCAACTGTTTGCATGAAAACCATCAGGTCTTCACACCATGGGTATGAGTTCCTGATCAAAGCCTCAATTGTATAGCTAGCTCCTCAGCTTTCTTGGAAGCAAACACCAGAGCTATAGCATATACGATTGTCATTGTAAAATCAGGAACAAACAGATAGAAACCATAAATGTAGCAACAATCCCAAGTGTCTTATCTAGTTCCAAGAGCGACTAGGGAGGCGGAGGTTCGAGCCTTTTGCTCACCTCAAAAAGTCTGTCGCATTCCATGATCATGTGCGCGAGCCCCTGAGCTGCTGCCAGATTCTCGTTGAGGTCCTTTTGATCTGGCTTCCCGGTGGCGTATTTCTTCTGTATGACTCTGTAATTGAATGTGAGTGTGCTAAGCAGATCCCACACCAAATAGCTTGTCACAATACCAAACTCATCCCTTTTGTTTTCTGTTTATACCCAGATGCTATCCAGATCCCAGGCTTTTGTGTTTCCAAATAAAAACAATGATCACATATCTTAGATATTCTGAATCAGGCTAACAGTCTGACAGTTCACAAGGAAACATCTTGGAAAACTAAAAGGGCAGGAAGAACAGCGGGGGATGAAATTAATCTATTTTTCCAAAGTTTGAAGCCCCTTAACTGCAAGCTCCTGTTCTTTGGTCTTAAATATAGCCTTCTAAAGATTGTAAAATACTACTGTGTGTATATTTTTCTCCTCACTCACACAGACAACACAAAACTCAAGCTTTCTGCATCACAACTGGCATTCTTCAATGCTAGCTCAATAATTCTATGAATCTGAGCCCCGTGAATTAGGGTGCCTCACAAGATTTTCTGATTATGAAAAGAGTGTTGACAAATCCTGACAAATTTACATTTCAACTAAATGTAGCATGGAGACATGTTTTATCTATCTGTAATCTATTATCTATTATGTACCTATCAATCCTCTCTTTATCATCTATCATGTATTTATCATCTATCTATTTAGCTGTCATCTATTATCTAATCAATCTATCGTCGATCTATCTACCTACGTATCTATAATCTGTCTCTCTATCAATATATCCATTCATATCTATCTATCCATTTATCCGTCCGTCCATCCATCCATCCATCCATCCATCCATCCATCCATCCATCCAGTCTTATAAACTGTGGGAATGCCTGCTTTGGGATTACTGTTGTTACTGAGGAAAAAACCCACCGTGGAGAGCTTTCTTTCTTCAATAAATTAAGATGAAAGAGGGAGGGGGCCAGACACACTGCCAGGTTCATGGGCGTCATCTGATTCTCTTCCACCAAGTTGACGACGTCATTCAGGAAACACAAGAGCGTCTGCAGGACCTCCCTGTTCTCGTCGGCCAGTAGCAGGATGGCAGCCTGCACGGCCTGCAGCCGCTGCTCTTTGGAGACATCTGAGGAAAAGTGGATGCCAGGTCATTGGAGGAGCAGACACAGAAAGAGCCAGCTGGGAGGCATTGTGTAAGCTCCACCTCCCTGGTGCGAACGTACACCCAGAGTCATCACCACCAACAACAACCAGAACAGCAGGAAAGGCACAAAGAAGTCAGTAATTGCTGAGGCCTTGCAGCTCATGGGAGGCAGAGCTGAGTCCCAACCCTTGCAACTGAACTCTGGATCCCGCAGTCTCAATGGCCAAGCAGGGTTTAGAAAGGGGCACCACCATCCTGGCTTTCTGTATTCTGAGCAATCAACCCACTCACCTGCTTTCAGAGGGCTTCTGGGTGAAGTTGGTGATTAGGACTCTGTCAACCTGGCATCCCTCTTGCCCATCCTCCCTGACAAACAGTTTGGGAAGCCCCTTTCAGGATGCCCAGGGCTCCGTGGGACATGGTTTGAAAACCACTGGGTTAGGGAACAGTAGCCTTGCCTTGCCTTTCTCCACCCCTGCCAGCCAGGCCATGATGGCAGTGCTGCACGATTCACCGGGAGTGGTGTTGAGCTGCTGGGACCTCTGACCTCATTCCTAGAGGGTCAGCTTCTCGAAGGGAAGCCTGTACCTCTTCCTTTTTCCTACAAATCTCCCAGGCTTGCTTTGCAGGATGCCTGCTATTGACTTCATGTGGAGACCCTGCGTCACCTGTTCCATAATCTTGGGGTTTATGGAAATTGAGGCTGTGCTTGGAGAAGAAAACCAGGCTGCCTAAGGTTATGGGGGATGTCTGGCCCTTCTCAGTCCCATCATCCTTGAGGGTGGTCCTCATGGTGGTGGTTGCCGGTTATGCAGGCTTACCAGGGAATTGGTTCCAACAATATGAGGTGAACTAAGTGGAAAACCACACCAAATGAGTGATAGGTGCTGTCTTTTGCTGCTCCCATCCGTGGCTGTGTTTATTTAGTGATCAGTTTAGTCCTCTCACTGCGAAAGACATTGTCGTGAGCTTGCTTCTGTCGACACTGTTGTCTTTCTGAAAATGCCATGTTCTGGTACAGGGGCCTCCACACTAGGCTGTCTGCACTCTCCAGGGGTGGGGAGGTGTGCTCCTGACAGTCTCTTGAGGTGTGAGAAGAAATCATTAGCACTCCCATGTGTGTTTATCTTTTCTCTTACCCATTAAAAATACTGATCGGGGGTACTTTATAATGTGCATAGTACATTATGGTATATCCAGTATATTTATATTACTAAACATAAATACACATTCAGATATTTGCTACTGGCAGGAGCGCATGATAAAAACAAACTCGGAGCTGGCTGTTCTAGAAGGGCTGAGATGTGACCTTCTGTGGGGATCCTGGCTGGCCCCAGGCTTTGTGGTCCTAGGGGGCTATGGATGCTGGATTCGCCTACATTCCCATGCCAGAGGCGTGATGTCACATCCCAGGGCTGACCACACTCTGGCCCTGATTAGCAAATCCAAGTTCCTGGAAAAGCCTGAGCATGCCTTCAGCGGTCTGAAACCTGTCCCCACTCCTCCCAGCATGTCCATTGTGTACTGGCACGAGATATACCTGGGGTTCACAGAGAAGAGCCATTTCGTTAAAATTATAGCAAACCCATTTTCTTACTCTCGCTTGGGGTGGAGCAGAAACAGATGGTACTAATGATCTCGAGCTTGTGAGAGGTGCTTGAGCCGCTGAATTGTTTTAAATATGCTGCTCCAGGTAAGGTGTCCAGTGTGTATACATTGTTTTACTTTACTAAGCTGCTTTTCCATGCCAACATTTTTTTCCCAGCCATCATTTTTGAAGAGTCGCCTGCCATCTCTACTTGTTTTCTCAGTTTCCTTTCTATTCACTTATTCTTTTATCCCTCTGAAAATACTTCCTGTCCATTATTGTTATTATTATTATTATTTACTAAAAATGCTTGAAATACCTAAATTCAGCATTTGTTTTGGATCCTATGCTCTTTCAGCTTTCTGTTACATGCCACGTGGCTGAGGGTCCTGCCCCTGTCCTGACTCTAAGGGGATGATTCTAGGTTTGAATTTTTAAGTGTGGATAATTTGCAATCATATGGGAGATCCTGGCACCTCAAATTCAGAATCCTGTGGATTCTGAACCCTTCTGCTCTCCAATTTCCACTTCTTTCAATCATGAGGCCTTAAAGCCTTATGGTTGTCTTTGACTCCTCCATCCTTCTCCCTCCTCCAGATGGGTATTTTCATTAACCATCGAACACTCCAATGTACTTCATCATTTGACAAAAGCCCAAGAAGTGGCATAGCTGAAAACAGAAGTTCTCTGGAGGACTGGAGGAGGAACCGTTCCTCTCTGCCACAGTAGCAGTTTGGAAACTTTGACTCTAGGGTCTATGCATGGAATGTCTTCTCTTCAGTCTCACTGCTGGAAGTCCCTGCAGGCAATTCAGAACCTTGATTAGTATGCTGACTCCCTGAGCCTCCATGCTCGTCCCGTTCAGTGCCTCTTGTGCACCACTTCCAGATTCCTGGGTCAATGACACGGTGCTGATGGACTTTCTCCCTGTGGCAGATACAAGGCTGGCCACTTACTCAATTCCCATTCTTCCCTTCTTCCTCATTAAGAAAGCACATGTTCTGCTCAGGTGTGAGCTGCAATATACTCAGGGAAATGGGTCCCTCCCTCAGACCCAAACCTGCCCTAAACCAAAACTGGTAACCCAGGTCCTCTTTTCAGTGTTTGGTTTAAGAAGTAAACCACTTCTGCCTGAGGGGACCAAGAAAAATGATAAGAGCTTCTGTAAGATGTATGTCCTTGATAAAAAGAGATACATGGCCAAGAAGAAGTACAGTCACTCTCTTCTTGCCTTGGAATGTGATTTTGTGAAGACGTGATAAGTATAGGTTGTGACAATTATACTGTGACCTTAAAGGGAAAGTCAAGAGAGGCTGACTTTAGCCCTGGCATCCCTGAGCTGTGGGATACCCAACTCTGGAATTATGTGAGATAATAAAATGTACTTATTGTTTAAACGACTGTTCGTTGGATATTTGGTTCTGTCTTTACAGCTGAGAACATTGTAACTGTAAAGTAATATGAATTACTTTCTTTTTTATTCTTAAAGTTTGGAATGTCTAGAAAATAAGTCCCTCAACAATAACCGACAGTTCCCCAGTGCTTAATGAATCAAGCATACACTCCTTGCCCTAATATTCAATGTCCTTCCTTTATGGCCCCAGTGTCGTTTTCAGTGTCATTTGGTGTCACTCTGTACGTCTGCCATACATGCACGCCAGATGAATACCCTGGGCTCTCCTGACATCAGTTTATGCTATCTGCAGAGCAGGTACCCAAAATGTGTTCCTCACATATCTCAGCCTTCAGTTGTCACTTCCTCCGTGAAGCCCTCATTCTTCATCTCTCTCTCCTTGGACTTTTCTGTAACCTTTCTATGGAACTTCTCCAACTTTGTAGTGTTGGAGTTATTTATGTTCATGCCTCATCTCCCTTATTGTAAGATCCTTAAGATCAGAGAGTGAGTCTCATCCATCCATATGCTCTGCCATGCTCAGCACGGTGCCCGGTACAGAAGCCACACTCTGTAAATGTTTGCTTAGCTAAAATAAAGCCTGCTTTGATCTGGCTGCTTGCTTGCAACTCAGAAAGGGCCAAAGACATTTATTTCTTTCAAGTAATGTGGCTTTAGCCTTAGACTAGTGTCAACTTTAGCCCAAGAACTGATTACATGTAAAGATTCGTCTCTGATACTTCCAAACCATAAGGGAGGCTTAATTGAAAAATGCAGTTCAACCTCTCACAGCAACAACATCAAGAACTCCCTGTTTGGGCTCTAGCAACTTGTATCACTAATTTGACTTAACCTACTTACTTTGAAAAACTAATGTTTACTTAGTGGGTTGCCACCTTAATCTGTTTTCACAAGTGGTTCTGATTATAATCCTTCCTGAGTTTGCGGTATCATGGACTCCTTAAACACATTGTATACAGAATTCTCTATAGCACGGATATTCTTCAGATTGGATCAAGTCCATGTCAAGGTCCGTTTTAGGCATATTTTGCTGAAAACTCAAAACTCATAAGTCCATGGGCCAAATGGCTTTTTTTTCCCCCATGAATTGGGATCTGGGCCATCAAAATAATTCATAATGTTAACATTGTCATATCTAGCAAAGAGTTACAAGTTTAATTTCCTTCTTTTTTTTTTCTTAGACGGAGTTTTGCTCTGTCACCCAGGCTGGAGTTCAGTGGCCCGATCTCCACTCACTGCAACCTCCGCCTCCCGGGTTCAAGCAATTCTCCTGCCTCAGCCTCCCAAATAGCTGGGATTTTAGGCACTGGCCACCATGCCTAGCTAATTTTTGTATCTTTTAGTAGAGATGTGGGTTCACCATGTTGACCAGGCTGGTCTTGAACTCCTGACCTCAGACAATCCAACCACCTTGGCCTCCCAAAGTGCTGGGATTACAGGTGTGAGCCACCATGCCCAGCCCACGTGTTTATTTCTAATAACCCTATTGCAACCACTTATAGTAGGATATGCTGCTTAATCAACAATTGTTATTTTCAGGGATTATTTTAATTATACAGGCTTTGCTGACAACTTAACATCATTAAAAAAAATCCAAGTGAAAATACAAATAAGTTCATTTAAGCTTAATGAAAAGTTTGCTTACTTTTCACCAATGAAGATGCATTGTACTAAAATACATTTGTTTTTATTTGCTGTCATTTTAATTCATGTCACTTTGAATTTCCTATATCCCAAAGAAATGCTTACTTTTTTAAAAAATTGAAGAAGTTTTAATAAAGACCTATATATAAAACAACTTCTATTGTGTCACTTTTCATTTTGAATTTTTGTAAATGTATTGGAAGTTTGTTTTAGATCGTACACAAAACTCTCTTGAGAAGGAATATTTTGATGTCAAAAAGGTATTTTCAAATGCATAAACAAATGGCCTGTGGATTTCCATACCAAACTTTGAGCAAAAGTTACTTCTGTAGAGGAGAACAGGATTCCATTCATCTTTATGGATTGATGTGTTATTCATATAATTAAAACTCAATCTATAGGGAATTATTTTCGTTACAGTGGAAGGATGCCCACGAGAACACCAATCTCATTATTTCCACTTACACTGATAGATGTGGAGGAAGGTCTCGCTGAGCTTGTTGGTGAAAAGAGGCTCAGGGAGGTCCCGGAAGAACTGTTTCACCATATCCGCCACGTCATAAGCAGACTGGTCTTCATAGTTGACGTTCTCGGGGAAGTTCTCATTCATTTGGCGTAGGGCGTGGATTCGAGACTTCACTCCTGACTTGCGAAAAAGACCCACCTGAAACGAAGCCATAGGGATGTGTCAGCCAGGCCACACTTGGTTGTGAGGAGGAGGAGGAAGCATGGGATGGGAACTGGATGAGCTGGAATTGCCTCCCAATTAGTACATGCTGAACTGTTAGTATAGCTACTTTAGGCAGTAGCCGAACACTGTCTTCCTCTCCTATGAAATGAAGATGAGAATAAAACCCCACCGCACAGGATTACTGTGGAGAGTGAGGAAATAGATGTGCATGTGCTCTGCGACCTATTACATCTCATCACACTGCAGATGTTATTATTATTTTATTCATTTATTCAACAAGTAGTGATTAAGTAACCACTGTGTACAGGCATGCTTAGAGTTCCTAGGTGTCATTAGTGAGCAGAGCAGATAAAATTCCCTGCCCTCTAGGGTTTACATTGCCATGGGGGTTTTGAGAAAGTTTGGTCAATGGGAGGTTTGGTGAAAACTATGTGGGTGGTGGATGAAAGAATCCCAGATAAACAGTCATATCCAGTGCCCTGCAGGGGAGAGTTTTACGGGGAATATGTTCGTGAAACAGAATAATATCCGAAGTACATATTTTGATTTAAGGGATTTATTTACTTTTTCTTCTTTGGAATTCTTGGCACTTACTTTTCTACCTGTTTGTTTTTATGCTATAAGCTATGGCTCTAGTGGGAATGAGTCCTGCGTGGCTTTTTCTTCAAACCTCAAGATAATGTCATATCATGCCTTTTTCATCTTAGAGCCCAGGCTCCTCCCTTACTTGATAAATACATGGAACATTAAGGCATCAAGGACAGAGTGGCCCTAACGAGAATGACTGAGGCAGAGCAGAGCCCGGCAAGAATGAAGACCCTGCAATGGTTGGGCAGGTTAAGCTCTAGGCCCTCTAGAGGAACTTCCTGTGCTGGACTTAGCCTCCATCCAAAAAGGAACTGAACTTTTCTGCACGCCCTGGCTTATAGGGAACAACATGTCTGCTATTTTTTAAATGCCTATAGGGAGTTGATTTGCTTCAACCCTCAATTTCCACAGCTGTCATTCCCCAGTGGCTCAAGGGTTGGCCCACTTGTGCAAAGCAAGGTAGAACCTTCCTGAGTTGCTGGTCAGGTAGACGGTGGACACTAGTGTCAGTCACTGATCTACCTCCCTATACCTGCAGGAATGTGTAACATAGGCCATCTTACTGATCACGCTGTGTGCCAGGCCTTGTACCTGCAGGAATGTCTAACATAGGCCATCTTACTGATCACGCTGTGTGCCAGGCCTTGTACCTGCAGGAATGTCTAACATAGGCCATCTTACTGATCACGCTGTGTGCCAGGCCGGCCTCCACCCGAGTTTGGTATCTGACAAAGGCTGTCCTGATTGCTGCAACAAATGGAGAGGAGCCCTCATTTTTTTTTAAAATTGTGGTAACAGCAAGGGAAGGATTCCAAGCCATTAGAGCATACTCAGGTTTTTGTACATGTCAGCTGAATGGATCTCAGAGGAAATTATACACTGCTACTTTTTGTGGCCATGAAAACAGAATTCTTAGTAATATTTCTTTGCATTCCAAGGCTTATTGCTCTAATCCCACACATCAGGATATTCGGCCTGATAATATCATCACTTAAAATATGAATTACTTTCTTTTTTATTCTTAAAGTTTGGAATGTCTAGAAAATGCCCAATTTTGCCATACTTAGACCACTCGCCATAAAGAATCTAGACAATATTTATCTTCCTTCAACTGGCAATGACTCCAAATTTCATCAAAGGGCATGGAAAGAAAGCATGTACTGTCAAAAGAGAAAAAAATTCAAGATGTCAGGTGAGTGATGACTGGGGTGAGACCCATCTCCGACTTGTTTACATCTTCTGCTTTTCTGATTTTGGAAGGAGGCCCAGGACTGTGCACACCACAGGGCTGCTTGTGCTGCACGAGTTCTCAGAATCAAGATGCCCTGAAGGTAAATACTTCGGTGTGACTCACAAATATTTATCCTCATATGAGCGGGTATTATTCCATTTGAGAAGAATTCCTATTTTTTAACCGCAGAGAAATATTGATCAGGATCTATAAAAAGAAGAAAGCAGACAGTGTTTCTGTTTAAATTGTCGGGCACGTTCCTCTTTTGTCCACCATGTCTTGCGGGCTGTTCCTGGGCGCACACTCTTGTGCGTGCACACACACATCCAGAGATGCTATCTTTGTATTGTTCGGTTTCCAAGTTTCTTTCTCGTTTCAGCAAATATTGTTATTTTAATTATTTTGGACATGTCTGGAGCTCTCCAGCTGCGGGCTCTGAACTGCTTGTTCTGACTGAGATCTTAGGATGTCCAGAGGGTTGTCAGGGATTTATTTGTGCTGCCTCAAATTCTGACAATAACCTTCCTGCCCTGCCCTTGTCTTCTAGGGCACACGGGAAATACAGACATATGTATCTATTTTGGTTTCTGTGGATTTTTGTTGGAAGTACAGCAGGAAAATTTTCTTTCGTAAACCTAATAAAGAAAAGGTGGTCTCAAATCAGATTCCAGTTGTAGTAGCTGAAGATGGCAAAAGGGAAAGATGGAAAGAACCTCTCTTCAAAGCTAATGAGGAACTGATGATTAAGCTAACCCCGGAACTATTCTATTTCCGGACTTTTATTTATTTATTTATTTTTTGAGACGGAGTCTGGCTCTGCTACCCAGGCTAGAGTGTGGTGGTGCATTTAAGTGATTCTCCTGCCTCAGCCTGCTAAGTAGCTGGGATTACAGGTGCCCGCCATCACACCCAGCTAATTTTTGTATTTTTTAGTAGAGACAGGGTTTCACCACGTTGGCTAGGCTGGTCTCGAACTCCTGACCTCAAGTGATTCACCCACCTCGGCCTCCCAAAGTGCTGGCATTACAGGTGTGAGCCACCATGCCTGGCCTATTTCCTGACTTTTCATTTGTGTTTTGTGAGACCATGAATTTCCTGTCATTTAAGCCATTTTGGGATGGGGCTTCTAGTGGTCGCTGTGGAAAGCCGCTGGGCACAGTGAGTAGAAGATGGTCTTCCTAAGGCATAGAGAGATCCTGAGACCAGAGGAAGAGCTTCCCCTTTCCATCGTCATAGAAAAACACAGTGATGGCAACGAGTGGTTTCCAATAATCATTTCTTCTTCAGAAAGTTTTGGCCGAGCACGGCGGCTCACGCCTGTAATCCCAGCACTTTGGGAGGCCGAGGTGGTTGGATTGTCTGAAGTCAGGAGTTTGAGACCAGCCTGGCCAACATGGTGAAACCCCGTCTCTACTAAAAATATAAACATTAGCTGGGTGTGGTGGTGGGTGCCTGTAATCCCAGCTACTCGGGAGGCTGAGGTGGGAGAATCTCCTGAACCTGGGAGGCAGAGGTTGCAGTGAGCTGAGATTGCGCCACTGCGCTCCAGCCTGGCAACAGAGCCAGACTCCATCTCAAAAAAAAAAAAAAAAAAAAAAAAAAAAAGGTTTCCAAAGCAGGGATTTGATCTGAATTTTTCCACAAGAGATAGTTTTCCACATAAAAAATGGAGAACCAAAGAAATTCTTTTTTCTTTTTTTTTTTTGTTTTTTTTGAGACGGAGTCTCACTCTATCTACCAGAGCTGGAGTGCAGTGGCATGATCTCAGCTCACCACAACCTCCATCTCCTGGGTTCAAAGTGATTCTCCTGCCACAGCCTCCCGAGTAGCTAGGATTATAGCTGTACACCACACCCAGCTTTTTTTTTTTTTTTTTTTTTGAGACGAAGTCTCCCTCTTGTCCCCCAGGCTGCAGTGTGATGGCGTGATCTCAGCTTACTGCAACCTCTGCTTCCCAGGTTCAAGCAATTCTCCTGCCTCAGTCCCCTGAGTAGCTGGGATTACAGGCACCCACCACCACACCTGGCTAATTTTTGTATTTTTAGTAGAGACAGACTTTTACCATGTTGGCCAGGCTGGTCTAGAACTCTTGACTTCAGGTGATTCACCCGCCTCAGCCTCCCAAAGTACTGGGATTACAGGTGTGAGCCGCCACGCCTGGCCTACTTTTTGTATTTTTTTAGCAGAGATGGTGTTTCACCATGTTGGCCAGGCTGGTCTCAAACTCCTGACCTCAGGTGATCTGCCCGCCTCAGCCTCCCAAAATGTTGGGATTATAAGTGTGAGCCACCGTGCCTTCCCTGTTGCTCATCCTTCTGACCAGAGTGGGTGGCAGGCAACAGCCCCAGCTCCCTCGGCTTCGTTATGAGGAAGATCCCAGGAGGGTATAATGTTTTTCCTTCACTTTTGTGTGTCACCCATAGGCAGGCAGCCTGGGCTGTCACACAGAGTCTCACGCACTGAGTTTAACGCTCTGCCGTCTTGGTTTTGAAATTCTCAATGATTTATGAACAAGCGATCCCACATTTTCTCTTTTCACTGGTCCCACAAATGGTATAACAGGCCCTGCTGTCATCTACTGTTAAAGCTCAGCCCAGCCACCCTCTTGAGAAAGGGGAGAGTGGCCGTCAGCAATGCAGAGTTCATTGTATAAGCATCTCTCCTGTATGTGATCTCTCGCTCCTTTTGAAGATAAAAGGGGAGTGATGAGTGTCCCCTTGGTCTAGTTTTCCTGTCCTCTCTCTTTTGTTTTTCACCTAAAAACCTAGCTATGAGAAAGCAAGGACTCAGCTGGGCACGGTAGCTCATGCCTGTAATCCCAGCACTTAGTGGGGGCCTAGGCATGTGGATCACCTGAGGTCAGGAGTTCGAGACCAGCCTGGCCAACATGGTGAAACCCTATCTCTATTAAAAATACAAAAATTAGTTGGGTATGGTGGTGCGTGCCTGTAAATCCCAGCTACTAGGGAGGCTGAGGCAGGAGAATCACTTGAACCCGGGAGGTGGAGTTGCAGTGAGCTGAGATTGTGCTACTGCACTCCAGCCTGGGTGCCAGAGCGAGACTCCATCTCAAAAAAAAAAAAAAAAAAAAAAGTGAGGACTCAAGGGTAATTTCACTGGATAGCCCCAGAGCACTGCTTACTTTATCTGAGGCAGGCAACAGGCAAAGTGACAAACAGGCAGTGGGGCCAGGGACACTTGTACTGAGTACCAAGTCTTCCCAGCATGATTAGGCTTTTAAAACTTACTGCTCTATTAGGAGGAGAGGCTGAGCATGAGTGGTGCATTAGAATTCAAATTCCATCTGAATAATATTAAATCTCCCTCTTGGCATCCTGTTTATGCTAATCTTTTTCGGGACTTAATGATGTTTATCAGGACTTCCATTTCCTCTTCTTTAGAAATGTGCTCCGCTAATGAAGGAAGGTTGGTTTTCTTCAGAAAGAGAAAGATTCGTAAGAAGAGTATGCGGCAGATTCTTATTTTGAGCATTGCAGGTTCAGCCTCTCACTGCAGTGACTTCGTATTCATCAGGAATAGGTATAACCTATCCTGTGCACAGTTGATTTAGGGCAGAAATAAAAGCTCAGACAACAAAGCAAGGCTCCTCTCACACATTACTATGTCTGAATACAAATGGTTCATAATTGAAGGCTAAACTTCCTCATCTCACCCACAGCCAGCTGCAAGGGCAAACATGGACACTCTGTTGCATCATGTAGGAACTGCTGTGCACGCGGGAGTGTGGAAAGCGAAGGGCTGGCAATGTTTCAGGCTCTGTGGGGCAGGGTCACCTGCAATCAGTGCTTATATGCGAGGACAGTGCTTAGCACGGGGAGAAGCGGCCAATGCGCTGCAGGCAGCCTCCTCCCTGAGACTCAGGGCAATGCCCTGGGAGAGTATGGGGTGGTGCTTCCTATTAAAACGTGGCGTACAAGGGGGATATTTGTGGATGTTCCCATCTTCTGCAGCTTTGAGGCTGGGTTCTCCAGGTCTTGGGCAGACTGGAATCTTTTCAATTCCGCGGAGGTGCTGTTGGCAAAGCAAGAACATTTTGTTTGGTGTCGCTCTCCTTCCTTTTCACTCTTTCCCCTCGCTTTTCTGATTGATTCGCTTTTATTAGCTCTTGCTTGCTCTGAAATCTCCGGAACAGCCAGGTTTTGATTCCTTAGTTTCTCTATTTCTCCCCTTTTCCTTCCTATTACCACCTTCCTTTTTCACTGGAGCCAGAGGGGTGGTCTCTGCGTGCTTCCCACACCATATGACAAGGAAAGGGAGGGACATGCCGCGGCTGGAAGCCCTGCCAGGACTGGGCGCGTTATCAGGTGCTGACTGGTTGTGGTGAAAGTCCCTTCGATGTCCTACGGATTCTCCCATGTGACTGACGCAAGAGATGCGTGGCTCTATTCATTTTAATTACATTTTGACCCACTATCCATGTCTTGAAACCAGTCTTCTTCCTCCAAGGTTTTGCCGGCACACTGTTTTTCATCTTGGCATTCTCCCAGATTTAAAACATGGACCTGAGATGGACACAGGGGTGGAAGAGGTTTTGGTGCCCTGTGTCTTTCTCTCTACTGATAAGACTTTTGCTTCCAAAGAGAGACTGGCCCCACTAACAGCAGTGATACTGGCACTACACATTATTCAGAAGCTACAGGGGGCAGGAATGGTTTATTGCCTACACTAAAGACTCAGCGCTGAATGGAATAGTGGAATTACATTTCATTTATTTATAGCCACTCTTGTTCAAGAAAAAATTTAAGGCGGCTTACAGTAATCTATAAAATATAATAAGATACAATTAAATTAAAGATAAAACATAAGAAAATTACAGCAAAAGGAAAATAAAGACAGAAAAGGGTGGATGAAACTAGGAATAAGATTGCTGCATAAAATTAATGCCAAAAATTACATAGATTTTACTACAGACAGAACACATATTTGGCTCCAGGCTTTCTAGCAGCCAATACAGTGAGGAAAATACACCCAAATGAATGAGTTTGGTGTCCACAGTATTAAAAAACAGGCCAGTTGTCCAAAAGAAACACAATGCTTTCAGATGCCGCAGCCAGAGGAAAAAGTGTTTTCTCCCCTTCTCACAGAAAGCACATTACGTGACTTAACGACCAACATCGACTACAAAATCTTGACAGTGAATTCATTCATCAATGAGTTGTACGGGGTCACTCCTCAATGCTAGAGATGGCATCACCCCGAAGTCCACGGGGGAAAAGCCGTTATAATAAGCAGCCACAGAGTGCAGTGGTTAGGAACTTGCACTCTGGAGTCAGACTTGCAAGCAAGTGTTGGCTCCACCATAATGAACCCGGGATAACACCATTCAAGGGTGGATGTGGGACTAAATGAGGCAATTAATGCAGAACACATAATAAAATTGCTTGAAACATGCCAGGCACTCAAGAGAGGTTATTTTTATTGAACTAGTGACACAGATAGGCTGCACTTCCTTTGGGCATTCCTGAACACTGTTTTCTCTTAACGGAGCTTTTGTTGATAAGCATTAGCTGGCCATGCTCTTGGAGCAAAATATTCTCTGTGCTTGGAAAAGGGCAAAGCCACGGTCTCTAAGAGCACCAAGAGGGAGGTGAGTTCGATACATACCCTTACAGAAAGTGAGATGCTTGGAAAAACATGTGTCTTAACAAAATACCATCTTGGGTCTATACCCACAAACCAACAACAAATGTACAATTGAGGCCACAAAGTTCTATGCCAAATGACAAGGTTGCAATGCTTTTAGCATTGGAATAGAGACCAGAGTGGGCTTTCCCAAATATTCACCAGAGCCCACCTCTTTAAAAACTTCTCTCAGTAAAACACCTTTAGGACATGAACTGTGAATAATGTGTATTCTTAGTAAAACCTCTAAGATTAAAAATAAATTAAAATGTATGCTTAAGTGACCAGATTAATTGGCTGACTCTATTGGGACGTGATTCACAAGTCAATTCATGTTGGGGCATCTGCCAAAGAAGAGGACCCTAGCAAAGGAGCTTGTCACTCTTATTGCTGGGGAATAAGAGGCAAGCTATTAAGGCCATTTCTCAAAACTAAACGGCCATCATCGCAACAACGACAGCAGCCATCCCACCCTCCACGATGACATCCAAATACGGAAAAATATTATGTGCAGATTTTCTAAATGAAAAGTGAGAAGGGACAAAGAGCATCACACGTTCAGTTCAGTCAAAGACAACTTCAAATGAAGAAGTTAATTCTATTTTTCTGTAGTGAAAATTGATTTCTGGTTTACCACGAGACCGGCCTGATTCTAAGTGTGGTCTCAGTATTGGAGTCTCTACAAGCATCACTAGCCAGGATCTTTGAGTTCATGTAGCTGAGCTCATTCCTGCCCACTGAGCCCAAGGTCCAGGGTAAATCAGTAAAAAGTACAATCATCTTAGGTTGGTACAGATTCTCTGCATGGCATCAAAAAGTATGATGAACAGAGACTATTACAGAATAGCTGCCTGAAAATATACCCACTATTCAGGGTTGCAATTTACCAGTTAAGAACATAACTTTTATTTTGGATAGAATGTCTAAGAAGCTAATGGGTGTTAATTTGGAGAAGCAAAGGCTTGTTTTGTAAACTACAGGACGGACTGCACTCTGGATTTAATCACAGTCCACCATTATGGTGGGCCCCAGTAGTCCCGGAGGCAGAAAATGATCTTTGAATATTTTGTTTAGCTTGAGCTTTGAATTAACTCTATAAAATGAGGGGATATTTGACTTAGTTGATACTTTTGTTCATATTTTACTTGCACATTTTTAAAATATGTAAATAAATCTGTCTTTAAGTTTTCCTGGTCATGATACTGCTTCAAAGGAAAAAAAAGAAGAATTAATACAAGGAGGCATGAAAAACCTAATTCTTTTTCAAAAATAATATAACAGGGATAAAAGAACACTGTGAAATCGATGGTGGCACTGAAATAATAGTTACAAAGGAAATGCAGTACATAGCTTAACTCCAGTTTTTAAGGATTGCAAATTAGACATCACAGGAACAAACTATTAACATCAACTTTCCGCAGTCACTCCAGGTCATCATTTAAGTTGCCAATGAGGAAACATCCTCAAATAGGATGTGGCTTGTTCAAATTCAATATTACCACATAAAGGTCACAATGCCTTTTATTTTTGGAGAGGCATGTCTTGCCTGATACTGGGCAGATCTGACTCAGTCTGACATCCCATCAATCTAATCCCATGGTTGGGGGTGGTGGGGCAGGAGCAGGGGGGTTACAGCCCTACCTGATCGAGGCAGTTGTTGCGTAGATATCTCAGTGCTTGCTGAATACTTTGAGGCAGGGGCTGTCCCGTTCTTTGGACGTGGACTATGAGAGGAACGCCAAAGACAGCCTTGTCTTTGTAGTCGGGAACTTTCATCCTCTTCATGAACTTTGGAACTGACCTAGAATTTACAGAAACCAGGTCATGCAAGCCTCCTGGGGCACACTGTGGGGAGAGGCTCTGGAAGCAAGCATGAGGGAAGCCAAGCTTTTGTTGGAATACCCAACAGACGCCGGGCGAATTCAGCATTCTCTCTGCATTAATCACAGGACACAGCCGTGCTCTGTGTGGCCCTTGCCTGCATGCTATCTCTAACTACTAAACAGCATGAGTCACGTTACCAGAATGTATTTGTAGCTCTGTTTTCAGGTCAAGTGGACAACTTTCCAATTTAATTGTGATAGACTCATCTCTCAAGTGCTGCACACTTAAAAGTCCCCAACAAAACAAAACAAATTTAAAAATTACAAGAGGAAGAAGAAATATGGCTGGGGCTGGAGGAAAAGGAAGGGAGAAAAGAAGAACAATATTTCTTGGCTCTATCCTTACTTTTCTAGAGCCAGCTGCAGTTTTTAAAGGACATTTTAATACACAAGCATATATTGATTTGGCCATGAATTTATAACCTTCTAAAATATTTTATAAACACACCATTGATTTTTTAAATATGCATATTATAAAACATAGAACAATTACTGATACATTTTGTATTTTTTCAAATCCACCAAATCATCTATAATAGGCCCACATTCAAGTTCTAACATATGCTTCTGTCAATTCCCTATTACAAGGTTTACTGCATATTCTTGTTTTTATTTGCCAATGAAATAAAAGCAGAAATGTATTTGAAGAATTAAATGCTCTTTGAATGAATCAAGGCTCTAAGTGGTGAGCTTTGCATCAGGCCAGAAGGTACAAGTGACAGCTGTTTCTGTGCAAACTGCCAGGATTATTTTATGGCAAGTTTATTTTTATTTCCTCTGTTCACAATTAATCACCCTTTACTTGTCTTTTTTTCCTTTCTTGGAGCCTGACTGCCTTCCCTGGAAACCAACTGAGAGCTACAAATAGAGCAACGTTTCCTGTGGGCTCTGTCACATGGAGGCTACGGCAGAGCTCATGCCTTACGTCCAGGAGATCATCGGTGAAGGCAATGAATGGGTTCTTCAGAATTCACAAAGTAAACGTGGAAGCTTTTGCAATCACCCACTTAGCTCTGGAGCCAAGGATCCCCTCCTAGGTGAACGTGCTACGCACCATGTCCAGCCGTGCTTGTTGGACATGGAGTGCTTCTCCATGATGGCCGTGAGGCGAAGCAGCGAGAAGCGCTGGAGCAGGCTCAGCTGGCTGGCCGTCTGGCTGCTGATGTGGGGCGATGCTGGGGCTGGCCGGGGCTGGTGAGACAGCTGGAAACTGTTCCATCGGAGTCGCCTTTACCAGAGAGACCATCACAGAAGCCAGTCACAAAGTGGACTTGGTAGCGGGAAACACGGGACATCACCAATGTACATGAAGCTAATCAAGATAGCGTCCGAGCGAAGAGAATCGCAATGCAAATGGAACAGAAGACACAAGTGTGCAGAACAAACACAGGACATGATTTGTCCAATTCGGATAAGTCTGGAAAAAGTCTTATTATCTGTTTTATTAGGGGGTTTAAACAAGTGATAGAGGAAATACTAGGTTTTTTATTCCAAATTTGTTCACGTTGAGAGCAGCTGAGACAGTGTGTGTGTGAGTGTGTGTGTGTGTGTGTGTGAAAGAGAAAGAGAAACAGAAAGAGAGGAAAGAGATGGAGACAGGGAGATATAGACAGAAGCAGAGACAGCAGACAGAGAGAGAAAAGACAGAGACAGACATAGATGGAGAGATGGAGAGATGAGACAGAAAAATAGAGAGAGACAGAGGCAGAGAATGAGAGACAGACAGAGATAGAAGGATATAGACAGAGAGAGAGAGCAAGAGACAGAGAGACAGAGAGAGGGAAGACAGACGGTGCAATATAGACAGAGGACAGACAGGTAGAGTGATATAGACAAAAAGAGAAATAGAGAGATATAGACAGGGAGCAAGAAACAGAGAGAGAGAGAGAGAGAGAGAGAGAGCGAGAGAAAGAGACAGAGCTGTCGAATGTCTAGGGCTGCAGAAAATTTTCTCATTGTCTTCCATGTGTCCACACTCTAACTCTTGCTCAGTATTGAGATGGAGCCTGAAGATGAGAGGTAAAGATGGTGACACATCACTGAGTCCCAAGATACACCCCTGTCTCAACCAGAAACCCAGCAGCACACACAATGCTCTTGTTTCTACCAGTTTGGACCTCCCAGGGCCATTTTTCTAGGGTGCTTCTGAAATGGTCTTTGTAAGTCAGCTTTTACGTACTTTGTAATTGGCACTTTCAAGCAAAAACAGACTTACAGAGTACACATCTTAGACCTCAGAAATTTCTTATAGGAGCAAAAAAAGTGTAAAATTTGGGGAAGAGACATTTTGATGAATGCATCACAGGAAGGTCAGGGGCAGAGTCGGTGCCTAGGAACTAGGTCTTGGTTATCCAGGATTCCCTGCATGTGGTGCCCGGTATAATGCTTTGCATATAAGAAGCTCAAAATATTTTTGGATAAAACTAAGATCAAAATAAAAGATAAACACAAATAAATATGAGTTAACACGGATTCAATCACCATGACACCTGTGCAGAAGTCATACTTCTGTTCAAAGAATTCCTAATCACATACATCACTTAGAACATAGTCAGGCATTTAGTAAGTACTCTGCATACATTTGTTAAAGAAATAAACAGAACACAATTACTATGAAATGGACAAAAAATCATTTCACAAATGCATGCCACCTACCTGTTTGGCCTGGTTAGAGAGGCCCCTACACCAGAATCCCTCCTGTCTCTGACCCCGGGAGGCTCAGATTCATTAAGAGATGTTACATCTCTTTCCACATCACTGGGTGTCGTCCGACCTTCTGAGACAGAGTTACCTTCAAAATCTAAGGTGATCTGATTAGGAGACGGAAAGGGGGATAAGCCAGGCTCCCCAACCAACGTATCGTGAGTTTGCAGTTCAGGTAAGACATCTTTGGACCAGTCATCCACTACCTCCTGGAGCCCATTGACATGCTGCAGAATGTCATCCAAGTGAGGGAAAAGGTCATCTTTCTCCAAGTCCAAAAGATCTCCTGTGCTGGCATACAGATGAGAGCCAGGGACATTGTCATAGATACTGACTCGGCTGGCTCTGTGGCAGGACGCCATGAGCCGGGGCTCCCTGGCACCAGGGACCTGCTCTCTGCCCAGGGAGATGCTACCGGTCCTCCAGTTAACCCCATTGCTACTATCTGTGGGAGAAAGGCTTTCAATAGAAAGTGCCTTGGGGAATGTTCCTGGTTTGTGATCCTTGGGAATATGCACCACCAAATTCTCTTGGGAGTGAAACTCATGCATACGGCTTTGGTCCCCTGCATCCTGCAGTGCTGTCCCTGCCAGCACATCCAGGTCCTCTAAGTACATGCCCCCACGCTTGTTGGCCTCGTGGCACTTGCGTTCCTTCAGGCAGGGTGTGCTGACGCCGCTGCTGCTGTGCTCCGATGGGCTGCTCTCGCCACTCGACTTGCCGGAGCATGGGAGCCCTCTTCTGCAGGCAGGTGGCGGTGAATTCTGGAGATCTCCATTTGGTATTTGGACGCACTGCATGGCCTTAAAGGACTCTGGCTCCTGCTGCAACATGGGCCCGCTGATCACCAGGCCACCTGTCCGCCCTGACCCCTTGTGCCTCCCGTGGGCTCCCTTCCCTCGGAGTGTTTCCATGCGTTTCAAAAATGATTTGGCCCTAGCCCTTGTGGGCTTCTCATTCTTGGGGTGGAAGGGGTGGTTGAGGACGTCTCTGGGGGACTGCGGGAGGCTGCTGCTGACCAGTGGGGCATCCAGCATGACCGGGCTGTCTGCACAGCACTGGCCCGGCTGGCTGCGGCTGTCACTGCCTCCACTGCTTTCGCTGTGAATAGAACAGACCTCAGGCTCGCTCAGGTCTGTGAGGACGCTCTCACTGCTGGTCGTGTTCCTCATCCCCGTGCCTCCCGGTGACCCACTTCTGTCTCCTCGAGGGAGCAGCGTGTAGAGGTCGTCCACACGAGACCACCTGCGACTGGTTCTTTGGAAAGTCCATTTGTTGCTGATACAAAGATCTTCCTCATCGGAGTCGTCACCCTGCAGAACACCAAGGAAAATGCTCATTAGCAGACAGTGTGGGTGAGGCAGGAACTCTGGGTGCACTGAGGGCAGCCCTGGGCGGTCCTCCACCTCCCTTCCCTCTGTACTCCCAGCACAGGTGTGAGCTTCTTGGGCACCTCGAAGCTGTCCTTCCACCACTTGCACTGTCTTGTACATACCCTTCCTCCCAGTGACCAGAGGATTCTTCTCAACTTGCCAAGCTTTCTTCCTTCCCATTTTCAAAGAGGTTTTGAATGCTTCCTTCCTTCCTCTCTAAGAAGTTTTCCCTGACTGATTATAAAGAGGGTATAATTACATCAGACTAGACAGTCTAAATATAAAGCACCTGCAGTCTTTTTCACAAAGGAACTCAACTCTGCCATAAAAGGCACTTACTTCTTTCCAGAAACCTCTTCACTGAGCCCCAGGGACCGTATTTCCAGCTTGCCTCTTCTGAATCTCAACGTCAGTATATCTCAAAGCTAACACACCTTATTTTAGTCCTCTGCACTTGATTCTTATCGTGTATTCCCTGGATAAGGTAACAGCAAAATGACCCACTGAATTTCTTTAAGTAGGGATGAGGGAGCCATTCTGGAGATCACTATTTGTGATCCAATCCGGCTGCTCTGCGTGAGCAGTCTTTTTCTGTTGAAGCAACTCCGAGTCAGAATGCCGTGGGCAGGACGCACACCTCTGTGGTGTGGCTGCAATGGGTCCCCGCGGCTTGGCACTGTCTTACACTCTGTGCCTCACACATTGACTCTAGGTGTCTGGTTTCAGCCTGAATTTGTAGTCCCTGAGAGAGGAGCATCTGCATTCCCTGAGGCCAGAGATGGCCTAGTTTAGCTCTGCATAGCCTTGGGCCCAGCACAGACCTTGAACTCAGGCTTACCACCTCCTTTTGAAATAAACTGAATCATCGGATCCTGCTTCATCCTCACCAAGCACATCACCAAGACCTAATTCTGAACTGATTTTCAAATTTGTTCCCTCATGCGTAATTTCACTCTCATTTTCTTAGCGTAGGCCTTTGCCACCTCTCTCTGGATCTGTTACAGTAAAAATGTGGCAGAAGCCCGGTCTCCAGCATCTTTCCCATCGAAATAGCTTTCCACAGTGTAGTCCAAATTGAATCATATGATTTTTTTTTTTTTTTTTAAGCTTAGAAGCCTTCTGCTTGAGAGCCTCCACTCTCAGTTGTTACAGGTAAAGTCATCAAGAGCCAGGCCCGCTGCAGCGAGCCGTGATGGCACCACTGCACCACAGCATCAGCAACAAAGTGAGACCCTATCTCAAAAAAAAAAAAAAAAAAAAAAAAAGAGCAGGACCTGTGTTTCTCTGTTTCATTATTCATATAAACATATTTATTCATATGTATAGCCCCTCCAATGCCAAGGACATAATAATTGCTTATTTTTTTGTGAACTGAATTAAATTTATTTTATTCTACTTGAGTGTTCAGTTTTAAGACCTGGTTCCAAGTGTCAGAGCTAGGTGACTGTCCACAAGCTACTTACCCTCTCTAAAGTAAGTTTCTGCTACTTATGAGTTTGAAGTGGGTCTTGCCTCATAGGTTTGCTGAAGATTGCTGAAGGGATTAAAGAAGGTAGTGCATTCAGCAGTCCCTCACTGAGAGGTATTCACTTAAAGTAAGTTTCTGCCGCTTATAATATGAGACTGAAGTGGGTCTTGCCTCATAGGTTTGCTGAAGGGATTAAGGAAGGTAGTGCATTCAGCAGTCCCTCACTGAGAGGTATTTGCTTATTTGTATCTTTCAATGTTAGTTCAACTGCTTGTCAATCTTTTTACGTATCTGGCGTCCACCTTAACTCCCTTTAACCTTGCAGTGTGTTGTTTTTAAGAAAACCTAAGCAGATGTACAGTTAATCATTGTGGGGATCTTCCTGTTTTTGTTTATTCCTTCAAAATCTAGTTTCTGTGTAGGTTTGACTAAATGGCAAACTTGAATATTCAAGTTTAAAGTGAAAGCAAGTACAAAGCCAAGGTACAGAAAAGAATTCTATGGCTTAGAAGTCAGGTGCGGTGGCTGATATGGTTTGGTCGTGTTCCCACCAAAATCTAATCTTGAGTTGTAGCTCCCATAATTCCCATGTGTTGATGTGTTGTGGGAGGGACTTGGTGGGAGATAATTGAATCGTGGGGGTGGTTTCCCCCATACTGCTCTTGTGGTAGTGAATAAGTTTCATGAGATCTGATGGTTTTATAAGGGGAAACCCCTTTTGCTCAGCTCTCATTCTCTCTTGTCTGCTGCCATGTAAGATGTACCGTTCGCCTTCCACCATGATTGTGAGGCCTGCCTGTATGAACCTGTGAGTCCATTAAACCTCTTTTTACTTATAAATTGCCCAGTCTCAGGTATGTCTTCATCAGCAGTGTGAAAAATGGACTAATACAGTGGCTCACGCCTGTAATCTCAGCTACTTGGGAGTCTGAGGTGGAAGGGTCTTTTGAGTCCAGGAGTTTGAGTCCAGCCTGGGCAACATATCAAGACTCTGTCTCTTAAGAAAAGGAAACAAAAAGAAACAGAAAAGAATTCTACAGCATTGAGATCACAGTGAAAAATTAGCTTTGAGTTTTAAAAACTTGTATAAAGCTCTGATGAAACAGTTGAGAAAGTTGTAATTGTACAAGTGGAAAAAGGGCAAGACTCCAGAACGATGACTCAAAATATATTTTCCTACTAGTACTTTCTACTCCCTCTATTCCTGTGATTGATATAATAAAAACTGACATATGAGGGTCATTTATACACAAGGTACCATGATAGGCTGAATGTTGAACTTACTGGATTTTTGTACTGCATTTTAGGAAGCTAGTGAGAAGTTGACATTAAATAAGGACTGTGAAAAAGCCCTTTTAGCAGACAGTTTTTTAGAAGACAAAAAAAAAAAAAAAAAAGGATATGACTTTAAAGAAAATATAGATATTTTAAAACAGTAACTACAACATTTAGTGTTGGCCCCAACTACCTCTCTCAAATCTGGTTATGATGCCAGCACATCACATACTAGTTGGATAGGGACTCCTTTATTTAGGTTAAGAACACATGCCAAGCTGGGCACTGTGGCCTGGGAAGGGTAAGCCTGGCCCTGTTTGCTGGTCTCTAAGAGCTTATTATACTCACTTTGGCCAAAAGGAAAATATTTACAGCCCAACTAAGGCATGTGAAAAAGTGGTAAACTCCTGGGAAAAAGGCAAAACAGCTCAGGGAAATTTTGCAGCATTCAGGTTGTTTGAACCAAAGCAAACAAACAAAAACAAAAGCAATAGAAAACAAAATGCAACAAAGAAAAAAACAACTATTCTTCTTTGAAACCCTGTGCCCACAATGACCATGGTATGTCCCCAAGGGTATTGAAATGGCTGTGTCTGTGTCTTCCACTAATGATGGATATTTCAAACTATTTGATAGTGACACACAACAAAAAATATATTTTCCATCACAACTCAGGGCACACACACAGACTATATTAAAGCACAAAAAAAGTTATACTTAAGTAATTATCCTTGTTTGTTTGTATTCTGATACTTCTTAGTCTAGTTTAGTCTGTTTTATTTTTTTAAATGTTGTTTGTGATCCACCAAATTCACTTGACAACCTCCCAAGGGGCCATGATCTGCAGTATGAAAAACACACACTGCAGTAGAGTTTACGGTTTTTTTTACACACTCAGGACCCAGCAGAGCATCAGGCACATTTCAGACTCTCCAGTGGTATTTATGGAAGTGTACTGATTGTTTAAAAGAGATTATCAGATTTCATCTGTTTGATAATTTTTTTGAGGTTAACAATGAATAGCTTGTGATTATTTAGAAACACAAAATGGAAATCTCTAGGAGTCAGATGTGTTTGTAAAGAAAAGGATACATCAAACTAACTTAATTCTCCTGTCTCAGAAACCATGGATGTACCAGGGACACGGAACATCAGAATTTCAGCAAGACAACTACAAAAAGGTTCTCATGTTGTGGACAATATGGCTCACTAGCTAGATGCTACACAGGGGTGTCCAATCTTTTGGCTTCCTTGGGCCATATTGGAAGAAGAATTGTCTTGGGCCACACATAAAACACACTAATACTAATGATAGCTGATGAGCTTAAAAAAATGGCAAAAAAAAAAACCTCATAATGTTTTAAGAAAGTTTATGAATTTGTGTTGGGGCACATCCAAAGCCGTTCTGGGCCGCAAATAGCCCACGAGCCATGGGTTGGACGAGCTTGCTACAGAGAGTTTTGTTAGTAACTGGTTGAGTAACTCCTCCACAGCGTGTGACTAAAAGACTGTAAATAACTGAAGGAAGCATGTCTCAAGGTTATGACCATTTTAAGAGTAACTTGAATGGGCCGGAACTCATGTTGTTAAACTGTAAAGATGGTATAAGGCTATTTGCTAAGGGTTCTTTGAGACTCAGTTTTCTGTTATAAAATGAAAACAATAATAATGCACGTCTAGCATGATTTGTCAACAGAACCAAATGGGACTATATGTGAAAACACCATATAAACCCTAAAGTGATAGATGAAATTAGTTATTATTGTTAGAGAATAGCAATATTGAGAAGTGTATAGAGCTTAACAAGTGAAGGATGACCTGTTAATAAGATATAATTTCATAAAAGTCAAATAAAATGACTCTAACTTCAAAAATCAACTACAGGATGTGTAGGATAAAAAGAACATAGTTCAACAGCCCTTCCTGTTATTAAAGACTTGAGAGCTCTGGCAGATGTAAGCTTAATGTGACTTAACCATGTAATATGGCTACTGAACAAAGACACCAACCCTAGGATGCATGACCAGAGCACAGATCCCAAGATTCAAAAGGTGAGTACCCACTGCATTCTGCACTGGTCACATATATCAGGAACAATGGGTTCTTTTTAAGCACCCCACATTTTGAGGGGTACGTTTCTAGAGAAGAGTAATCAGAATGGCCAAGGATCTAAGAACCACAATCTCCTGGGTTGGAC